CGAGTTTTCTTAAAAACTGAAATTATGATTGGGAACACTATTCCCACTTATCCTAGGTTTCACATTTCCCAGATTCAGTAATCTGTGGCCAACTGAGGCCAGTAACAGTACATTAACATGTTTTGAGAAAGAACAAGACCACATTCACATCATTTTTATTACAGTATATTTTTATAATTATTCTATTATTATTAATTATTGTTGTTAATCACTTATTGTGCCTAATGTATAAATGAGGTTTTATCATAGGTATTTATGCATAGGAAAAAGCAAAGTATATGTCGGATTTGGTACTATCAGCAGTTTTAGGCATCTCCTGGGGGGTCTTGGAATGTATCTCCCACAGATAAGGGAGGGTTACTATACCACAGTTGTCTAATATTTAACAAAGCAGCACTGTGGACTCTGACAAATAGCATATCGCAGCCAGTGAGGACATGGATGAATCTGTGGAACTTCCCACACAACATACAATTTCTGAAATACTTCTATTAGTAATATTTTACCAAGCTAACCTAGGGAAAGCAATGCATCTCATATGATTTGACAGCTCTTGCCGTGCAACTCCTCAATAGTAGCATATCAAACCAAACTAATGGTTGCTAGCACAGCTTTTTTTACAAGGTGAAAGAACAAATCCTTTGTGATTTTTTCCATGGGCCCTCTGGGACTTAAGATAGGATGATGGGTTATTGAAAAGCAATACTTGGCTCACTGTTTTACCAAAGTGACAATAAAAGATTTTAAAGATAAACACAGGAAGTAAGATGATTGTAAAGAACCTTAGCTCCTTTCTCAGTGCGAGGACTTTGTTTTCTTAGATAGTCAAGGACATACTAAAGTCAACATAAATGATAGAAGAGGGCTGGGGAGTGTAGCTCAGTGGTAGAATGCTTGCCTAGCATGTGTGAGGCCCAGGTTTCATCCCCAGCACTGCAGGGGAGGAAAAGTAGTAAACCATAAAAGATTACCTTGGGAAAACACAGAATCTTTGTTATCTAAGAAGATTATTTGGAAGGTAAAGCAAACTGTTTCTAACCTGTCATTAAGGACAGACAAATAATCCAAAAGAAAAACCTTTGCCATTTGAACAGAGAGCAAAACTCTAGTTTTTCATCAGTATATTTGATATTGGAGTTCTTTTTGGTATAAGTGCTACCAAAGTAACCACTGAAATTCTTTTTAAAATTTTTTTTAGCTGTAGATAGACACAGTACTTTATTTTATTTATTTATTTTATATGGTGCTGAGGATTAAACCCAGTGCCTCATGTATGCTTGGCAAGCGCTCTACCACTGAGCCACAACCCAAGCCATGAAGTTCTTTTTGAAAATCTTATAAATAAACTCATCAAACCATAGCCAGCTTTGACCTGAACAAATAAAATTCTGTTTCTGTGAATCCTCTGCAATTTTTGGTATCCATACACATCCTTTGTAGTACAACTTTTAAAAAATTTTTAGTTATTGATGGACCTTTATTTGTTTATCAATTTTTATGTGGTGCTGAGAACTGAACCCAGTGCCTCACACATGCTAGGCAAGTGCTTTATCACTGAGCCACAACACCAGCCCTATAGTACAATTTTTCTAAGTGACAAAAAGTACAGTCAAATATATATAGCCTCCCTGTACCTTGTAAAAATAAGAAGTAAAAGCATATAAACCTAAAATTATGTGTAGTAATGTTTTAGCATTCTTTTAAAACTTTTTTTAGTTGTAGTTAGACACAATACCTTTATTTTATTTATTTATTTTTACTTGGTGCTGAGGATCGAACCCAGTGCCTCACATGTTCTAGGCAAGCACTCTACCACTGAACTACAACCGCAGCCTTCAGCATTCTTTTACTTAGAAATGGTCTAGGTGTCTAACTGATATTAATTTAATTTAATATCAGTTCAAAGTTTTCAGTTACATAAAGATCTTGTAAATTATTTTCAAGCTGATCAACTACAAAACATAATTACTATTGCAATAAAGTTCATTATCAGAATGACTCAACTTGGTTAAACGAATTTATTTTATTCATAAACTTGAACATTTAATAGAAGTAACATTAGTTCATTCAATCGATAAGCCTGTTTGTGTTTAGGAAGAATACACCTAAGTAGAACAAAAATCTACCTGCACATTTTACCTAACACTGATAAGTCAGAAAAAGACAGCTAGTTTTAGTAAACTAAAATTACTAAATCAGTCCTATTTGCCAAAAATTGATCTAAATTATGTGAACTTGAATTGTTACAATTGTTTTTATAGGAATATTCTTTTTAGCAGTTTGAAAGTTTTGAAGGTTCAATTTCTTTATTTTATGGTAATTTAAGCAATATTCCTTTTATCTAAATGCTTTTCTTTCTTTTTTTGGTGTGGGGGGGTGTGGTACCAGGGATTAAACTCAGGGGCACTTGACCAGTGAGCCATATTCCCAGCCCTATTTAGAGACAGGATCTCACTGAGTTGCTAAGCACCTTGCTTTTGCTGAGGCTGGCTTTGAACTTGCCATCCCCCTGCCTCAGCCTCCCTAGCCACTAGGATTACAGGTGTGCGCCTGGCTCTCTCTCTCTCTCTCTCTCTCTCTCTCTCTCTCTCTCTCTCTCTCTCTCTCTCATAGTGGGGATTGATCCCAGGGGCACTGAGCTATATTCCCAGCACTTTTTTATTTTGTAACAGGGTCTTGCTAAATTGCTTAGGGCCTTGCTAAATTGCTGAGGCTGGCCTCCAATTTACAATCCTCCTGCCTCAGCCTCCCAAGTCACTGAGATTATAGGCATGCCCAAACTTGGTTCTAAATGCTTATTCGTTTCTATAAGCCAATGAGAACAGAGCTCCTTTATGAGATTTTCTAATCTAATTTGGTAATATCATCCAGAGGTAGGAAAATATTACACATTCACACAAAAAAACATAAAGGACTTTCTGAATTACAGACATCATCATCATTATTCAGGCTATTGTCATGGAATAATGTTCATTAATTAGGAACATCTTAAAGGAAGAGGCCCAGGAGATTTTTAGAAAAGGGTAAACAAGGTAGTTATCCATGAGTCTTAATGGGAGTCATAAGAAAGGATGGGTCTTACTTTGGAATATGTCAGAGCAAACTGGTCAATTCTCCATTATCAGCCCTCAGAACACAGAGAGGTGGGGAGCTTCTTGGCCATCACTGCTTTCTAGAACCATGGAGCCTAAATACAGCCCGATACTGACAATGACATGAGTGTACTTTGCCAAGTTTGTCTACAGAAGTTCTCTATATTCTCCTTTATATGCCATATTATTTCCGGTTGCCTTTTTTGTTTGGATGGTTAGGTTTTTGGTTTTGTTTTTTTCTGTACTTATGACATTCTCCCTAACTTCATTGTATGTTCTCTGAGGGAAGCAATTATTACCTATACTGATTTGTATTCCTCCTTCTCCCTCCTCTTTTGACCTACCATTCAGTGTTCTGTCCCATCTACACAAAGTTATTGATGTTTAATAGAAGAATACATTATATGTCTTGATGTACTGAGACAATAGATTTATAAAATGTAAACTTTCCATAACTGGAAAATAGCACTGACATCTAAGAACTTTCAAAGTCACATATTTAATTCTTATTTACAGAGAATTCATGGATGGACAAATTCTTTTCTTTGCTTGTTTTTTTTTTTTTTCTGTTTCTGGTTGCATACCTAAGACCAAGCTGTTCCTTGTCAAGCTGCTTGTTGAGTTCACCTCAATGAAGCATAGTCAGTGTCAAGCAATATTTTTACCAACTTCCTGCTCTCCATCGAACTGTCTTATTGACTCAGCCTGTGAACCAGGGCATTGTTTAGAATATGAAATGCAATAAAAAAAGTGATTTCATGAAGAAGTGTATGCATTGTGTAGGCACTAGAAAGATTTCTCATAGTAGCAAAGATGCATTTTAACTGTTATTCCTCTCAGAATTCTGCTTTGAATAAAACTTCAGGGTGAGCTTAGACAAAAATGGGCTAAATATTTGTAGTGTTTGTGGAAGCAAAAGAAATGGAAACATTTTGGATGAGGCCTTAAAATAAATTATAATGCATTCTGATGAAAGATAATGTTCTTCTACATCTAATCAGCCAAGCTTAGTGGAATAAAAGAACACGTTATTTCACATAAATGTGTAATAAAAGAACACGTTTTTGTCGACAAGAGGATAAAGTGACACAATAGCAAAAAAGTTAAAGGACACTAGTAAAGTCAATGAGGACAATTTTTGTGAAGGAAACAAAATAAACTTTAGAAAAGGCTGCTTCATTTTTCATTGTAATAATTACATTTACAGAAAGGCAACTGTGTTATGCTACCCAAGAGGTTATGCATTTATACATTCTACACTCAACTTTTATGAGCAACAAGTGCCAAGACTTTTTTTTTTTATTTAAAAAAATAACTCCCAGGTTATAGGGCCGGTACAGAAAATCTAATCTCCATCATCTTTGTCTTTTTTAATATTTATTTTTTAGTTATAAGTGGACATAATGTCTTCATTTTACTTTATGTGGTGCTGAGGATCGAACCCAGAGCCTCACGCATGCCAGGCGAGCACTCTACCACTAAGCCACAACCCCATCCCCTATAGGATTGTCTTTAAGGCTGCTTCTAGAGTCTAGCCTTCTTAAAGTTCTAGAAATGAAAATCAGTGTTCATCATAATGAGCCCGGGGTACTACATATTTTTTGACATGATTCCTAAATCATCAGAGAAAGGTTTTATTTTGTTCAGTATAGTTATTATATTCTAATGCTTTGAAAATCTGGGATCTTGAATGGAAAATGTTATCAGTCAACCTGAGTATTTACCAAAACACTTCATTCTCTAATCATTCTAGGCCACTTACTATATAATCTTTGTGGCTGGATTTTTGTTTTTCTTCAAAGAAGGGGGAATTTTAAGGGACTAGATCTCAAGGGTTAGATCCTTGGCTGTAAAGACTCCCTTGGATTGCTTTTTGGCTGTTGGCTGTAGCAACTTGTTTTCTTGCAGAGATGAAGCATCTGGTTTTTGTTATCTCAATGATGCTGTCCTGGGAATATTACGATTGCGACGGAAATTTGACCGTATTCTCTATGTGGATTTGGATCTGCACCATGGAGATGGTAAGCCCTTCAGTTTCAAAGATGCTTTGCTGCTACGACAGCAGGTTTTGATCAGTAAAGCTACTTCTAGGCAACTGGTAAGAGGAGGAATGGCTATTGCAATTGAAATTTTCCTAATTGAGATTTCTAAAGTAAGTAGTGTAGATTCCTCTAACCCACGCCAATCCCTCCTTTGCTGCCTAAGCCAGCCTCCTTTCATTTCCTCTCCCCTCTCCTCCTGTAGCAGAGCTTTATAGTAGAGAATGGGAAGAAGTGGAACTCTTAACTAGTGTTTACTCCAGTGCACAGTAACCTACCTCAGGCCATTTCCATCAGTTCTAAGGCAAATTTGTGATTAGAGCTGACAGTCTTGTCTCTTCTCAGTGGTACTTCTCTCAGGATAAAATAGGTATATGAAGGACAGACAGTCCAAGTTTTTCACCAATAAACTACCAACTTCTGTAGTGACCAAAATCTGTTTTTCTTTTTTGGGAGGCACCAGGGATTGAACCCAGGGGTGCTTAACCACTGAGCCACACCCCCAGCCCTTTTGGTATTTTATTTAGAGACAGGGTCTTGCTGAGTTGCTAGAGCCTTGCTAAATTGCTGAAGCTGGCTTTGAACTTGTGATCCGATTGCCTCAGCCTTCCCAGCTGCAGGGATTATAGGCATGAGCTACCACACCCGGCTGCCACTTTCTTTATGTTGCTAAAATATGAAGTCCTGCACAAACCCAGATCATCTTCCTTAACTTGTGATGGCAGAATCTCTTAACACTTTGTGCTCACCTATTAATCCCCTCTTAGAAGACTCCACTGAAAATACTTATCCAACCCTCCTATGTATTTTCTATCTAGAACATAGACCTACAGTGACAGTTGTCCTGTCTGTAACACAGTATTTCCATTCACCTAAGAACACTTATCCATTAAATGATTGATTAAGTATATCCCCTGTCCCCGACTTTAGTGACTGCTACTTCCTAATTTCCTGGGAATTTTTTAGACAAGACATACTCACATAATCATGCATAAGTATGTGTCTAAGGTTAGGGTTAGCTTTTCTGTCAAAACAGAAAGAAGAATGAAGAAATGTGGTGGTGGGGTGGGGGGAGCTCCCCAGGGAGTGTTTCCTGCACAGATGCTAGAAACGGATGCTAGAAACATGGACCAGTGACATAAAGGTAAATGTAATAGACCCTTGCATGATGGTACACATCTGTAATCCCAGCAACTTAAGAAGCTAAGGCAGGAAGATCACAAGTTGGAGGCTAGTCTCTGCAACTTAGTGAGGCCCTGTCTCAAAATAAAAAATAAAATAGGGCTGGGAATGTAGCTGTGTGGTTCAATACCCAGTGCCACACACACACACAAAGTAAATGTAACAGATGAGAGAGAGGTTGGAAAAACCGACATACTACCTTGAGAACTACAGTCACTGAATTTCTGAATACTTGGCCATTGCAAAACACAGCCTTGCTCAAAAACCTTTAGAATCTCCTTATTCCTTATAATAAGGGGCAGCATTTGACCCATGGCTTACATTTTGTATAGTCAGAGAGTAAGAATGTTTTTTTCCCCATTTTTAGAGGTTGTAAAAACATAAAATTTGTATGTGTGCATATATATGCATAAGTGTGTTCCTAGCAGAGATTGTAATTAGTTTGAAAAGCCTACAATGTTTACTATCTACTATTCACTTAGTTTTCTGACCCCTGGCCTAGAACAATGTTTCTCAACCTTACCTGTGCATCTGGATGGGAGGTTTGTTTTATCATGAAGATTGCTGGGCCACATTCACTAGATATTCAGGTTAAGTAGGTCAGATATAAATCCAAAGAATGTACAATTTAACAGCACTATAGTTGTTCTGCAGGCCACACTTTAAAAAACAGTAGTCTTCGAAGTAAAGTCGAGTCTTTTCCCTATCTTTCAAGGCTCACCTCAAACAAGCCTCACCTCATCTTTCCAGTCTTATCTCTCCCTACTTTCTGTCCAGGTTACTCTTACTCAGTGAGTGTATCTCAATATTCATGACATGTCTCACTATTCCTACTTCCCTGACTTTGCCTCCCTTTTTTCCTAACTTAATTTTGCTTTCTCCTCCCTTTTTGCATCTCCAAGTTCTATCCATTTGCTCAAGGTTCAACAGTAGCAGATTTCCCTGATCACCCTACCCCAAGGGTTGTCTTCCACCTCTCAAGTCCTGTACTGTTTATAGCACTGATTTGCTATGTACTTACATGTTGTCTCATATTATTAGGTAATTTTTTAACATGTCTGTGTCTTGTTTCTTCATAGAAACTTTAAGTACCTTCACAACACAGATCAAATTATTTATTTCTCTCTGTCTTGTACAATGCCTTAATAGTATCTGTATATAGTAGTGGTTTAGTAAAATACTTGTTGTATGAATGAATGATTATGAAATGCAAAGTATTAGTACCAGAGTTCGAGACTAGAACCAACTCTATTGAACCATATAAGAATGAAATAAGACTGTCACCTGAAACCGTTCTTTCCATTTGCAATGTTATTTCTACACCATTTAGAGTTTCCTGTTTTAGCCAACTTTTATGGTGTGTTTCATTTCAGTTTATTTCCCCTCTTCAGCACCTCCCTTCCAGTGACCCCTGCCCCACCCCCAAACTCTTACACATTTGGTTTATTTTAAATCTCCCATGATTCCATAACTAACATCCTGTGGTGGCTTCACTAACCACTCCTACCCCGTCTTCATCTCCTTTCATCTGCCTAAACACTCTCCTCTTTCACACCAACTCCATATCCTACACCTATCTGATTACGTCCTTTTAAAATTAAGTATGATTTTATAACCATGCCTAATGGTATTTCCTACAAGAAGAAATACAAATGGCTACTAAACATGTGAAAAGGTGCTCAATGCCCTAATACTCAGAGAAATGCAAATTAGAACAAGACCATTCTTTCTGCCTAGGATTAAAAAGAATAATAATAGCCAGTCATGTGCTAGTCAACATGGGAGAAAACAGGGACTCATATACATGGTCAGGAGAAAAGTAAGCTGATATATCTCTGGATGGATAAATAATCAGAATTTTCATGAACTATCCTTGTTTCTAAATTGAAATGCTATTTTCATTTATCTTGTTTTATTTTGTTTACTTCATACTTTCTGCCTGGAGCCCTTAACTGATTTTAACTGCCTCCCTAGGGCAAAACATAAGCTTGGGAAATTCAAACATACCTGTTATGTACAAATAGAGTTAATATTTTTTTAAGGTCTCTGTTGGCTTCTAATGAAGACTGAATACATTAAGTAAACACTGAGACAATATCTTTGTTTGAAATATAAAGGAGGATAGTACCCAAATTTGCTAATAGTCCTTGCACTTTACAGACTGATTATATGAACCACAGTATATGATTCTGGGAGGAAAAGGGTAGAAATGGGTACCATGGTTATTGGACAAGAAGTGGCTTCTGAGAATTACTTTAAATCCCAGCTTTTAACTCCCAGGCATCCAATCATTTTCTGACCCTGTTTAAATGGAAAGGAGACCCCTTTCTAGAAAAGTCTCTCCCCCATGTTTCTCTAGGCTTTAAAATTCTGTTATAAAGCTGCTATTAAGGAACAAGACCGTGACTATTTTCAGCTTTCCATGTTTTAGCCAGAAGGATGTACTATAAGTTAGTTAGTACACACAGGACTTTGAGAAACCTGCATATATAACCAAATATGCATTATAAAGAGGTACTTTATAATTAGGCTTTCACCATGTAATGCCTAATGTTTGTATTGGTTATATTTTTAAAGGGATTATCACATAATACTTCTTTGAAAAGAAAATAGAACATAAAACTTCAAAGTTGATGCCAGTGTCCTCTATTCATTTCTGTTGATAGTGTCTTAATTCTGGGCTCATTCCCTTCTCCACATTTTAGAACAGATGTCAGAGAAAGCCCAGGCATCCCTTTGCTTTGAAAGGAGAAGTCCAGTTATAGTTTGCCATTAATTTGAAAGGGTACCCCCAAACTTCACTTGAGGCCAAAGTTCTACCTCATCTGTAATTACAAAGATCAGAGACCAGGGGTTTGTCACTTTTATTCCTTGGCTTGTTAGTTTTGTTATTGCCACCTTCCTTTCTCCCCTTCTTCCCACAACTGCTTTCTAGATTTTTAGGTATTAGAAACCGAAGTTCTATATATGAAGTGTTTCTTCTGACATTTCTTTCTCTGGTAGGTGTAGAAGACGCCTTCAGTTTCACCTCCAAAGTCATGACCGTGTCCCTGCACAAATTCTCCCCAGGATTTTTCCCAGGCAAGTGACTTATGTGCTCCCTGTACTTTTGATGAATAGATACTGCAATTGTTCTGTACATCCCTATATCTTATATTTGTATAGCTCCATCCTGTTACTATGTTATGGAGGCTATTCTACACAAAATTTCAACACAGGTCATTTCAGGTGACAATGATAAGAGGAATGACAATAACACGGTTTCTTCTTCCAGATGATTTTTATGGACTGTTAATAGGCAGATCAGTTAAACTTCCTGTACTATCAGATACCACAAGTAATTCCTAACATCCTGATAATTGCAGTGACACAGTGATATTATGTCAACCTCAAAAGCACAAAGAATCAAGCAAAGGAGTTAATATCTTAATTTTTATTTCATCCAGTAAGATGAAAATGAAGGTTTTTCAGTTTCCTGGCTTCCCCAACATTATTTATCCTTGTTCCTACTGTATATTATTTTTCATAATTTCATTACCTTAGAAAATGATTACTAATTCAGAATTGTTCTGCTAACTGACTGTTTTGGCCTTCTAAATTCCTGTCAGACAATCCTTCAAGTTTTCTAGTTCACATGTTCCTAATAACTGAACACAGTGTTCTTCTCTATTACAGGAACAGGTGATGTATCTGATGTCGGCCTAGGGAAAGGACGGTACTATAGTGTAAATGTGCCCCTTCAGGATGGCATACAGGATGAGAAGTACTACCACATCTGTGAGAGGTATTACAAAACCATCGAGCCAGGAGCAAGAGGATTGCATTTCTGTAGAATGAAATGTTCCCTCATCTGGCAGAATTTTTTTTTTTCAAGCAACAGTTTGAAAGAGAAAAACATTGTATGTCCACATAGCTTTTAGACACTGTTTCTTATGCTTATTTAATTGGGTAGCCATCTCCTGTTAGGGATGGCCAAGTGATTGGATCAGAGCCTTCCTCCAGCTTTGATATTACCTGCTTCCTGGTATGATTAAGAAAAAAGAAAAACTTTTAAGCTGTCCTTGGGAATCCTTTTTCTACTACTTTCTCAGCTAAAGAAACCTGCGTGTGTGTGATTTCATTAGCTTGGCAGTGTACATCTCTGTTTTCTCTTATGGAAACCTCTGCTTCTTCTCTGTACAATTCTATAATCCCCTCTATAATTCTTCATTGTGCATTCTTGAGTTCTATCTGTTAAAATTAGTATAAGAAATTTGTGTGTGTATTTGTAGTGCCGGGTATCAAACACAGAGCTTTGTGCATGCTAACCATATGCTCTCTCACTGAGCTATTCCCCTGGCTCAGAAATCTGTTCTTTTCCCTTATAGTTAAGGATTAAATTACAGATACTTATCGGTGGACAGTTTAGTGTGTAGACCTCTGGAGTTGACAAGTCCTATGGAAAGGAAAAAGGGAGAAACTAAACTCATATTCATAAAAATTGAGATTGGTCAGGTACAAATTCACTGCTGACAATGGCAACAGAGAGAGTGAGTCTGGCTGGAAGTGAGCCAGTCAACAATTCTGAAGGTAAGCAGTGGGGATTGAGGTACTCTTGATCCCACCCCCCCCCCTCAGCTCACATTTCTCCCAACCTCTGGTGGAAAACAGGGACTTCCCAAAGGAGCCGGCCTGCATTGGCCGTCATCACTGGCAATTGTATAAACAAAGTAGAACTATTAAAAAATAAAAACTTTATGCTTCAAAAGTGCCTCTTAGCTCCAGAGATTTGGCCAGCCAACGCATCACTCAGTCATTCAGCAGCACTAGCTTCTTCATGATTTTTATCATGTCCCCTGGCTACCTCTGTATTATCAGACTGAAAAAAAAAAAAAAAAAGAAAAACAACTTTTTTTGGACTTGTTTTGTTTTGAGCCTGCCATTGATGGTTTAATTGCCCTTCTTTGTTCCCCTTAGGCTCTGTCCTGTCCTTGAGATGTACAGATCAGAGCTGCTTATGTAACTTGACCAAAGAAGATGTCCTGTGGTTCTGTGTAAAAGGAGAATTATTTTGTTTGTCTTTTAATCCCCTTATTAACAGTGCCCAACATCTTGTTGCCCCCCCCCACCTTTGGCATAGCAGGAAGCTACATTGTTCTCTGTAGTGCACTATTCACAGGGTTTCCTAGAGCTCTTTCCTGGGTCTTAATTGAAAGGTCACCACCCATCATCCTGCAAGTATAATTTGTAATATCAGCCCTCCCTAAATATATCACCTTACATGTGTCCCTATTCAAGCTCATCTGCCAATCATAAAGCTTCCTGAGATCTTCCTTTCTCCCCCACCAGCTTGGCATTTCACTGCCAGCAAAAGCTGAATGTTATCTGCATATTTGAGGATTTCCCAGTACCCACCACCCTAAGTCTACTAGTTCTCCTTCAGTCAAAAAAAGTCTGTTTCTTTCCTATAGTTTTTTTTTTTTTAGATACACCATTTTCTACTACATGATTAAAAAAATTTAAATCCCATGGTAATTCATGTTTAAAAATAGTCTTAGTATCAAACTTAATTAGAAGCATTTTAAAAGTAAATTTAGCCCCAAAGAAAAGATCCGGAAAAGATTATACATGATTTCCCTTTACAGAAACCCTTTTGCCACCCGCATCCCAGTAGATCGATGGCTTTTGTGTCCAAGAGGCTAGCGTTTATTAAAGATTCTTCCAGTTTGCCTACTAGAGAACCAGACACTCATCAGTTTATAGATCCCAAGGCCCTTTTGCCTGCAGAGTCCGGCAATTCACACAGTGATCACCCAGAATAACAGGTTCCAGGTTTTCATTAAAGGTACAATAATTGTTTCCTTTGATTTCCTTCAGAAGTCAAGTCTGGTCAGGGCATGATGTGAAGTCACCTCTGATTCCAGGGGTGCCAGGAAGGCTTCCTGGTCCAAACATCCCTCCCATCTGTTGGACTAATACCTGAAATTCCTTTAACAGGAAACAGACATTGTTTCTACAGTTAGAAATAGACCTTAAAATGAAAACTTGGCCCAACATAGCCTCCTCACCGCCACATTGCCATAGGCGTATTATTTCACAGATAGCCAATTTGCAAAGGGTTAGAGTATGAACTCCTTGAGTTTTCGGAAGAGCAGGGAATAGGTAGTGGAGCACTACAGGAAAAGTGATACAAACAAAACCAAACCATCTTTGCCAACTAGTTTTACCAGGTCTGGTAATTATCTCACTCTGTCCCAAATTATGCTTTTGACTCCTTTCAATATGTGTCTTGGAAATGGAGTCTGACCCATCTGCCTACCTCAAATGGCATATTAGTTATACAAATGGCTCATTATTTTATAAAAGTCATTTGGTATATCTATTATTTCATTTTCATCTTTATCACTGGTTCACTTATAGATGCTCTAATTTTTGTCACCCAATTTCTAGTTTGCTCCTGAGCTGCTTCTCCCTGTGGGATTCACATAAATTGTTTTTTTTCCCTTTCCTCTTCTTTCATTTCTTCCACCTTCCTTCCATTCTTCCTTCCCCCCCCCCTTCTTCCTTCTCTCTCCCTCCCTTTTTCTCTTCATTCCTTTTTAAGGTTGTTCCTCTGGTGTAGCGCTTTTTACTTTGCTAGCTAGTCGGGCAGAAATTTAATGGTTTCATTTTAAGATTGAACACACCCCCTTCATTTTAAAAAATGGCTTAAAGTTTCATTTTGTAATAGACTGTATATGGAATTTATTTATTCTAATTAGTTATACATGACAGTAGAATGCATTTGGACATATCATCCATAAATGGAGTATAATTTCTCATTCTTCTGGTCATATGATGTGGAATTATACCAGTCGCATAGTCATATATACACATAGGGTAATAATGTCCAATTCATTCTTCTAACCTTCTTACCCCCATACTCCCTCCCCTCCCTTCAGTCCATTCTGCCAAATCCAAAGTACCTCTATTCTTCCCTACCCCACTTATTTTAAATTAGCATCCATATATCAGAAAAAAAAAAACATTCAGCCTTTGGTTTTTGGGGGATTGGCTTATTTGCTTAGCATGATATTCTCCAGCTCCACCCATTTACCTGGAAATGCATAATTTCATTCTTCTTTAAGGCTGAGTAATATTCCATTGTGTATACCATATTTTCTTTTTCCATTTGTCTGTTGAAGAGCATCTAGGTTGGTTCAGTAGTTTGGCTATTGTGAATTGAGCTGCTATAAACATTGATGTAGCTGCATTACTGTAGTGTGCTGATTTTAAGTCCTGTGACTATAAACCAAGGAATGGGATAGGTGGGTCAAATGGTGGTCCCATTCCAACTTTTCTGAGGAATCTCCATACTGCTTTATATAATGGTTGTACCATTTTTACATCAACATTTTCTAACATTACCAAAAATCTTGGGTTCCATTTTATGTAATTGGCAATCTTGTAATTAGACTTTTCTAGGTTATTTTATCCTAAGAGAAGAATTAATGATTCCCATAAGATTCTTATAGTTTGCATGGGAGCTACTAGAGTTGGTATACCAAGTAATGTACTATTTTAGCTAGCATAAAAGAACATCAACATTATTCCATCCTTCAAATGAAATCTTATGGCTCCAGTATAGAGATGATAGAAGTATATTATAATCTGGATTTACCTATTTATTTTAATTTTTTTGTAGTTATAGAAGGACAGCATGCCTTTATTTTATTTGTTTACTTTTATGTGGTGATAAACCTCAAACCCAATGCCTCACATGTGCCAGGCAAGTGCTCTGCCTCTGAGCTACAGCCCCAGCCCCTTTAATCTGGATTTGCATGAAAGCCCACCAACCCCACTCTACCCTGGGGCCATACATACATATAAGTGTATGCATGTTTGGTGAGAGAGGGAAGGTGTTCTAACAAAGGAAGGGTTTGCTAGTTCCCAAGTTTTGGTATCTAAAATAGAAAATGCCCTGAGTTCTACCTCCGGCAGTGTGAAAGAAGCAAGGAACTGTTGCCTATGTTTAACCTATTTTCTCTCAGAGCAGTATTTGAATGCAATGTGAGATAGTCTTAATTATGTCTCACCTACTACCTAAAATGCATTGTTGATTTTCAGAACATTTACACCCAAGAATTTGTAAGAGAGAGTGATGATAACAAGTACTTCTTTGCTGTTGGTTTGTGGGAGTTTTTGGTAAATATCAGGGTACCACTCTGAAACTTCAAACCCTGCAGAATGACCTAGCTACTTGCTCACTGTCAACTTCCATGACACATACCAAGTTTGAATGAAGAAATTCAGAGTTGTGTTAATACTTCTTAGTATGTATCCTATCCATAATCTTACAGCACTAGTAGCCAGAAAGCAATCTTTACTAGATATCTGATTATTAGTATATGTCTCATAGGAAAACTATGCATATGGTACCTATAATAAGTACAGATGCATATACTGAAGTCAACAGTTCAATGTTATGAAAAAAAATTAAGAATATTCACCAGGCACAGGGGCACATGCCTATAATCCCAGCTGCTTGGGAGAGTAAGACAGGAAGATAGCAAGTTCAAAGCCAGCCTCAGCAAAAGTGAGGTGCTAAGCAACTCAGTGAGAGCCTGTCTCTAAATAAAATACAAAATAGGGCTGGGGATGTAGCTCAGTGATTAAGTACCCCTGGGTTCAATCCCCAGTACCCCCACCAAAAAAAAAGAATATTCAACTATTCAATTTTGTAAGATAATATGAACAGACACTGTATAAATCTTTTACCAAAAGGAAGATATATTGTTAAATAGATTTCTCAATAATTAGGACTTC